ACTGTTATTTTGTAAATATATTTTTAACATATGCATTCAGAAGTCACTCTCAAGAATATCTTCTCTCACCAAAAAAGTGAAAAAGATCACTCCCTTCCAAATCACTCAAGATGAGAGAGACCATTTTAAGAACATACTAGTTTACAGTCCGTTTAATTTTTACTAGAATTACTACATTCTTCCTAAAAGACAGTATTATGGCTGCAACACAGGATTAGCAACATCTGACATTTTGAATTTGAAAAAAACTTTGAAGAACTCGGTTGCGTAACTACTTACAGAATGTTTTTGCCAACACTCTCGTAAAACGGGTCTCTTCTTTTTGTGAACTACAACTTCCTGCATGTCTTCAAGGGAGGGATGCTGGCCGATTTCTTCTTCAAATGGCAGCATGTACTCATCTACCGGACCTACAGACAACAAAAAAAAAGTTAAACCACTAATTTTGTTTTTGAAAAAGGGAAAAAAGAATTAAGAGTGGTATCGTAGAAATGCAGACTACTCTGTCTACCCTGTTCCATTAAGAGCTCTCCCTGTGCCAGGTCAGCAGCGATCGGTGACTACGATTTTAACTAAGCAGCAGCGGCACTTTCCGGAAGCAGAAGCCTTTGCTCCCCTGCACACAGCAGCCACACGCAGCTCCCGGCCCGGCTCCCTCCACCGAAAGCTCCGAACCCCACGGGCTGAAGGAGGCGCAGGGATGCACAGCTTCTCCCCCGCCTCCTCCCACTCCGCGTAGCTCTGGTAAGATAAACCATCATCCCGCGTCCAAGTTGGCCACCTCTCCTGGTGGCTGGCTACCAAGCAGGCGCTGAGAGCCACTTGTGACCATTCGCCGTACCACATGCGCTGCGAAAAACAAAAGCGCCCGCCGCATCCCTCTGGGAACATCACACATTTCCTCCTCCAGTCCGTGCAGCCCAGGGTGAAAGTACTTATATGGAAGGCTACGCGGAGTATCTGTCCTGAACAGGACTTTTTAGTCTAGAGAACAGGAACGGGGTCTTTTTAGTCTGGAGAAGAGAAGACTGAGGGGGATCTCATCAACGCTGATCAATCCTTCAAGGGAGGGTGCCGGGGGGATGGGAACAGTCTGTTTCCAGTGGTGCCCAGTGACAGGACAAGAGGGAACGGGCACAAACGTGACCATCGGCAGTTCCATCTCCACCTGAGGAGGGCCTTCTCTGCTGTGAGGGCGGCAGAGCAGTGGCACAGGCTGCCCAGAGAGGTGGGGGAGTCTCCCCCTCTGGAGCCATCCCAAACCCGCCTGGACGCCGTCCTGTGCCACTGCTGGAGGTGCCCCTGCTCTGGCGGGGGGTGGGATGGGGGGGCTCCAGAAGGCCCTTCCCACCCCCACCAGTCTGGGATTCATTCTGTGATTCTGTGTAACAGCATCAGAGGGACACGCCTTGTATGCTAAACTACTGATTACACAATTATATGTTATCCTAACACATAGTTTGTGCTCTCAGATCACAAGTCCGAAGAAAAAGGAGGAATGGGAAGACAAAAGAAATGAAGGGTATGGTACAGGTGAGGCCGATGAGACTCGGTGAGACACACCAGGTGCCTTCTGAAAAGAATAAAGCAAAAAGCAACCATGTATTTGCCGAGAGAAAAGCAGGTGCCGTCACTGTGGAGCGACAGAACGCTGTGATTCGGGAAGGCCGTTTTCCTTCCCTGCTGCCTCCTTTGCTTTCTGGAATAATAACCCCACCCGCCAGAGACCAACGCCACACTCCAGCAGGATTTAGGTACATATTTTTACAGTACATTGAGGCATGAAAAATCAATACAGAATGCGGGGCTGCCTCAGAGACTTGTGCAAGATTGTGTCGATCCTGTTAGTAAACAGCTTAACATTTTTAAAAGGGTAAAATCTCCCCAGTGCCTTCTACTCCACGAGGAATGTTTGAAGCAGAAAAACACTGCTTGGAGCAGAAGAGCGCTGTGCGGCCACGTGCTGATCTGCCGAGATCTCCAGTACATCTTGGCTCTTTATGTGGGTATCTGTCAGCTGCGCCGTGCTCTCGCAGGACAGCTTGATGACAAATGGCATCACCAGCTCGAGTGAAACTGTCCTATGTACTCAGTTGAATTTAGCTGCTCTAAAGACTGTACTAAAAAGGTGACTTTATCCCAAACATCTTTGAGCCTTGTCTTTTGTCTTGTTCTTCACGAATCCTGACTTATTCTGGACACCCAGAAAAGATCTCTATTTATAAAATTTAAAGAATAGCATTCATACTTGAAACAGGGTATCTGGTATCTTTTCTTGATAGCTTAAAAATTGGATCCAACAGTTTGCTTTATGAGAACAACAACTGTGATGGACCCATCGCTAACACAGCATCAGCTGCACATTTCTCAGATGTTGCTCTGTTTCCCATCTCTAAGCTATTAACTATTAATTACAAATTTTGACATCTGTATCATAGAATCATTTACGTTGGAGGGGACCTTGAAGATCATCAAGCCCCACCACCCCGCCCTGGGCAGGGCCACCTCCCACCAGCCCAGGTTGCTCCAAGCCCCGTCCAACCTGGCCTTGAACACCTCCAGGGATGGGGCAGCCACAGCTTCTTGGGGCAACCTGCCCCAGGGGATCACCACCCTCACAGGAAAGAGCTTCTTCCTCATATCTCACCTAAATCTCCCCTCTTCCAGTTTGGAGCCATTTCCCCTCTTCCTATCACTACATGCCCCAGTAAAACGTCCCTCTCTAGCTCTCCTGTAGCCGCAACTCTCCCAGCCTGTCCTCCCAGCAGAGGGGCTCCGGCCCTCGCAACATCTCGGGGCCTCCTCTGGCCCCACTCCAACAGGTCCGTGTCTTTCCTATGTTGGGGGCTCCAGAGCTGGAGGCAGTACTCCAGGCGGGGTCTCAGCAGAGCAGAGTAGAGGGGAAGAATCACCTCCCTAAACTATGACCTGAACTAATGTCCCGTTAGGGACAAGAGAAAGAGAGAGTTGGGAGGCACTGAACTTACATGACACAGTCTCACTCTGGCACCTACATGTAAACCAGAAACAGACTTTTCTATGTCTCAGTGGAGACAAGCGACCTCCTGATGCACTGTGGAGCAGTTCACCGTGGTTCAGGACGGGCCAAGGTGGCACTCTGCACGCACTCACCAGCAGCTAGAAAATTTTGAACTGCATCGATGTTCTTTGTAATAAAATATATGATGACATACGAAAGTTCTTCATCTTTTTAGCCTTGTACTCCCCAACCACACTGGGAACAGACCCGAGGCTAGTAAGGGTCCACGCACATTGCCCGCAGGCAGCAGTAAAAGGCCGGTAGGTCACTGTCCAGACACTAAGGCGTATAGCAGGAGACACCGATTTCTCGGCAGGTGCTGGTGGGGTATCTCTGTTACCAAGTTTGATCTAATCTGAGCGTTTGATTAAGAACGGAAGCAATATTTTAAGATGAATTGATTGGCCCCGAGACTGTCAGGCCAAATGCAGAATCAAACTTGTTAGGTAATTCTCTCTTCCCTACCATGACCAGAGAAGAAATGCAGCAGGTAGCCATGTACCAGAAAATTGTTACCTGGGATGCCAAATATCAAAGGCACTAAATTATAAAGTGACTCCATGATGTTGCTGTTCCATTCATTTCCCCCACAAGACCACCACCCTGGTTAAATTTTATTACATACATTTAATCTACCTTCCAATTTACTTTTTTTTTTTTTTTACTTGAAATACACTTCTCACAAATTACATTAAATATTTCCATAGATCAAATACGTTACTTACCATCTGAGGCAGTACAGCGTGACGCCAATTCCCAGAGGACTAAGCCCATGGCATACATATCTATCCTCAAAAACGCATCCCTTTGGAAGTTTATAGCACCTTCTAGTACCTCAGGAGCCATATACCTTCGTGTACCGACCTTGAAAGACAGGAAAGCATAAAAATTTGTACGCTGAGAATCAACGCAACCACAATTACCATAATTACCATTCTAGCTGGTGCCGATTACAGTAGACCAGTACTATTTTTTGTCAAAGATTAAAAATAGCCCTGGTTATCCTTGCTTAGGACTAAATTTTAGAAGTATCTTTTATTTTTATATCCAGTGGTAGGTAAGAGGAATTAGAAACAATCGTATAGAATGGGGCCTATAAAGGCTACTTATGAAGCAGGAAAAGCGGAATATATTTTAAAATAACACATTTGTGCAACAATTCGATGTATTTGTCACTGTCACTCCTTATTTTCTTCCAGATTACAGGAAGGCGACTATTCTTATTTTTTCACGTCAAAAGAATTATTACAGTTTCACATAAGGATGTGAAACTTACTTTTGTTTCTCTCCCCATGACAGAAGCAGTAATAAAAATACCAAAAGAAAACCAGCTACCAAAGTGCAATTTCTACTGAGAAAGTTCTGTGATATCACTTAGAGAAAACTGGCCAGGAAATGAAAACTTTGGGGATACCCCTTCTTTTTGACCACAGGCAATGCTGAAATTATAAGTTCTGATTTAGTCAGATGACATGTGATGCCTGAACAAGATCTACTGCACCATTTAAACCTTCACAGCAATAGCTGTGTTCCTCTGAAGCAGTCTTATTGAGGATTTTACGCTCTTATTGTATGGATTTTATTTTTGTCACCCAACCACAAACTGCGAAGTTCCGCCTAAAATGAAAATATATGTAGTTTTCCAGAAAGTGTAATGCTTTAAGCTCAAGCTTATTTTAAAAGTCCAAGGTACTATACCAGTTCCCCGTGGTATGACAAGTGTCACACAACACTGTTGTCCTTTCAGGAAAGCGACTGTTGCTGGGTCAGACAGTTAGAAACCGGCTGCCAGCGTACTTCCCCAATTTCTGAACAGTACCTCAGAACAACTAATAAAATATAGCAAGACCGCCCTTTCTTTTCCAAATCCTCTAGCAAGAATGAAAATAAGAGGGGAGAGAGACCATGTAACGAGATGGGGGAGAAAGGCTGTGATCTGTAATTATCTCCAGAATTGTTTAATTTTTAGCCTGAGAGAAGAAAGCACAAATTACCACGTTCCTTAAAGGTCACTGACAAGAGGGTTGATGATACGGTATCCTCTGCGTGAAGAATGCCTAAACTATCCACTGCCATTCACATGCAGTAAACAGTTGTGTCACTTATGCAAATAAAGGGGTATTTACCTGTCCGTGTGTATCTCCTGCAGACTTTCCAGCCTCAAACTTTAAAGCTAGACCGAAATCAGCAATACAAGCTGTAAGATTATTTTTCAGCAGCACATTCTTGCTTTTGATGTCCCTTTCAAGTAAGGAAAAAGAAAAATTAGCGATCTAGAAGATGAAATATCATATACAGCACTAAGGAGAAAGTAATACAATAAAACAAAGAACATTATAATATGAAAGGCAAGAAAACGATAAAGCAGCAGTCCATTTTAACAACAAAAGAATAATAATAAAACCTAGGAGTACACTCGCACACCTTTATCCTTATGGAAATATGAGACTGGAACTATCATTTTATGCTTAGTTTTAAAATACGTATAGATTTATAAGCACGTATGATACAGAAACAGAACAAAACGTAGTTACTGCACACTTTGCTTACAACTACATTTTGTTTGTTTAAATAATAGGAAACAAAACACTTTGAAAAATGAATCTTGATTGTTTCTAACAAGGAGATCCATGATTTCCTGCAGAAACGAAAGACAATGGACTCGATCCAGGGATTCCCATCCGTCCTGTGCACACCTCTCTCCCTCCCCCACGTCACCATCAGTAAAGCAGGTTTACTCAGGAAATTCTAAATTCTATAGAAACTTTTTCTCTTACTCTATATGCCTATGTTATTTTGGTTACTGTATCGTTTCAGCTCCCTACTTCTATTAATAGCTTTCTATACCCACCTCATAAAAACTCAGCGATTACACTCAACAATAGACATAATGCAGTACACGTTTCTGTCTGAAGGCATTCAGTATTACTTACGTATATAAGGGTTTAAGCTGTTACACATAACTATAACGCCAATTATTTCCTATACTGCAGAGGGTACTTAAATAATTAAATATATATTAAAAAAGGATTTATGACATTAAGCACAATCACCACACCAAGTTCTATAAACTAGATTTTTGCTTAGGCCGAGCAGATTTTTCTTGTGAGGCTCTCGATAATTCTGGGAGGAAGATATCAGAGTAATTATTTGCATACTTCCTATCCATCCATGCTTCATAGCTCAGAGTTAAATACTAACAATCACCTGAAAATATTCAACCTATACCATACCTATGCGAGATGGCAGGTTTATGTCCGTCTTTCAGCCCTGGTATATCCTCGTGAAGATAGGCCAAGCCTCTAGCCATGGTTTGAGCGATGTGACATAGCTCGTTCCAAGAAACCACGTTAGCCTTGAGAAAGTCCGTTAATGAACCCTGCGCCGCAAAAAAGACGAACAATTATAAGATCAATTTAATTCTCATCTACTCATAAAGGAAACTTCTAGATGGCCTCTGTCATTAAAGAACACGATATGCTTCTCTGCCTTTCTCCGTTTTCTGATAGACCATATAATTAGACACACGCAGACGCAATCAACTGCTAGTTTAAACAACACAGAATTAACTTCTGCATCATCTCTAGTCCATGAACAGAATCCAGATGCATCTACACATCACCTCACCAAGCCAACAGTGCAATCAGCTCCAGTTGGGTGTCACACTTGCCAGTGAGCAGCGCTTGACTTGCAGCGTCAGAAATGGGAGCCAGACTTAAGGTATTTGAGTTCTTTAGAAAGACAAATCTGCTTTTACGAGGGTGATTTATCATCCTCCAGGCACAGGAAATTACAGGTTAGATTCACCTTCAAGAATCCTGCTGAACTGTCTATGTCCGTTCTCTAAGACCTAATTGATAGTCTAAATCTTTTCTTACGGACCAGCAACAGTGAACACCAGTTTCACAATACAGTGTCAGAGTGGACTACATACTCTGAGTAACTATGAAGAGAGAAAGTAAAAATCTAGTCAACATAAAGCTCTTCTCTTCCAACTCACTTCTACAGCCCACTCTATACACACATTTTCATGGATTTGCATGTTATCCAGTTTGTGAGATGTCACCGTGTCACCTTACTGTGTCAAAAGCCAACACAAAAGGGAAAAATAAACAAAGTGCTGTCACAGTGTAGAGGCCACACTTTAAAAATAGAATTAAAAAATTGTGTTTTCCATCAGAGTCATCTCAGGTGCCATCTTTCCAACAGTAACAATTTTTTTTAAAACTCTTAGACAAAAAACCAAATAAGAAGATGGCAATAAACTCTCAAAAGGCAAATTAGGTTGAGGTTATCTAATTGATCATGAAGATCTGTCAAAAATTTTGACTAGTTGGACAGTTTTAAGTCTTCTAAATTATTAAAGCAGAGGCATAAGCAGGACAAAAATGCCAGAAGGAAGAATGTAACGTTCAATACCAGAAATACGATCTATGACCTCGCCTTAATGTATTAGCGTATCCATATTATACAGATTTATATTTTCTCAAAGCTGCTACAGGTAACATCTTCCTAATGCCTCTTTGCCAGTGCTAAATTTAGGTTTGGGGCTTTTTTTGCTCTTTATACCTACATCTGCAACAGTTACATGCATTAAAAAAAACCCCAAACCAAGTGGACAAAGTAAAACAGTGAACGTATACTAAATTATATATACTTATGTGTCTTATTGTGGTTGTCACAATACAATTGATACATACTACTTCGTTCTTATAGACGCAAGTCAGCTCACACAAGTAAAACAAAAATAAAACACCGCAATCTTTGCAAGATGGAGCTTATTTAATCCAGGCAGATTTAGATGGGGGATATTCAAAACCACATATTCTAAAAAGCAAAAAAGTAGAGTAAATTTGTTTGTTTTCTAAAACAGCTCCTCTATTAAGTAAAGACTGGTGACAATTTTCTCAGCTGGCTGAAAAGGAATTTAAATAAATTCATATCCAATGAAAAGAAACAAGCTAAGAGTAAGCAAAAACTATTTTAAGTTTTATTTCTTAACTGTCTCAAGTTCACATTCATGACAAATTCCTAAGGCTGTTCCTGCCTCCACCGCAGTAACAGAAAAAAGAAACGACACTGAGAACTAAACACACCTTTTCATGAAATGCTGTAATTAACCAGAGATCCACATCGATGCTAGTGCCTCGCTTCTCTGCCCCAATGAACTGCAGGATATTGTCATGCTTCATTCCAGGTAAACTGTAAATTTCATATTCGTTCTGCCACGACTGTTTGTCCTGTCAACACAACACCACAGCAAACCAAGTTAACAGCATAATAATGAGAGTAAGAGGTACCTTCCCCGACAGAAGTTTCTCCCCTAATTTACTGTGCATTTGTAGATGACCTGTCAAAATGAGTAAAAACTTTTTTTTCGGCAATACAGGATTTACTCTCTAAAGGAAAGAAAGCAGAGCATATACTATTAACATTGTGAAGCTGATTATTTTGAAGTTTCAGATGTTTAGCCTAATACCAGTATTTGTGCTATGAACTATTGACCTAACACACAAAAATAGGAAAGCCTGTCTTTTCTCACATAGATTACATATTCACATATAGTAGAAAATTGTCAGAAAAGCTTAAATTTGTTGTAAACAAACATCAACTGTTGAAAACAACATCAACTATCACAGACAGGAACTGCGGAAACACAAAGCTGTAGATTAGGATCGGACTCTACATACTGCAAACCACTACAATTGCTTTAGTCTTAAGAGCATGGTTCAATTTTTGTATTTTATTGATCTAGAAGAACCCCATAAAGGATTAGAAATAGATTTCATTAAAAATAACGAACAAAAGATTTGATTTGTTGTGCTGATGGCTGAAACCACCTTAAATAAGCGCCGTTTCTCCGAGCAGAGAAAGAACCTACAGATGTATTTATTCAGCAAGTCAACACTCGGTTAATCATCAGCAAACACATGCACATTTCTTCACCTCAAGTAGCAGTGGGTGTTTTTAATTAATCTAAAATTTACCTTAATATGATTGTGCATGATCACTTTGTATTCTTTAACTAGACTGGATCTTAAAATTATGAGTACAGCCTATTCTGAAACATGGCTTTCAGAGGGTACTTGCTGGGAAGTAAATATTATTTCACTTAATTGAGGCATATTTAATTGGAATAATTACCTTATGGGTTTGCATTTCAGGACATTCCTTCCAAGTACAATTTAATTTGAAAAATATTAACAAATTCTTCTCAACTGATGGAGAAATGCATGAGAGCTGCTTAAAACTCTTCAAGCCAAATATGTATTTTTATAACTAGAAACATAAATAAATTTAAGTTTGTGTTTCAATAATATGTTTGCTGCATTAAAATAATTAAACAAAAATCTACCCGCACATGTTTCACCTCAAGACATTTCCTGCATTTAAGAATTTCTTTGAGCTATCTAGATTTACGGTATAAATGGAAAATTCTCTAAAATAAAAGCCGCCTCTTGTGAGTAGAAGAGCTGGTTTAATATCGGGATGTTACAGGCAACACAGGACACTAAGAACTTCTGCTTACCTGAATAGGGAATATTTTGACTGCAACATACTCATTTAGCAGCTGAGCTTTCCACACACATCCAAATCTCCCCCTAGCTTTGATCTCTAGTAACTGCAGTGGCTTCAAACCCATCAACGGCGACGGCGGTGGCGGTCCAGGATCCTGAAATCAGGTTAAAAGCATTAATTAATTGTGCTATTATATGTGCTATCTGTGATGACAGCACTAGAAGTAAAGGCTCGTAAACCGAAAGAGGTCTGGTATCACATACCCAACCCCCTTGCAACAAATTCCCCCAAACAAACCCGAAACAAAACAGCAATTCTTCTCCACAGGAAAGAAAAAACGAGATTGTGAATCATGCTCAGAATTAATGTGCAAGCAACAGCGTAACAACAGTGGCAGTGTAAATCTGCCTAACCCGGTGTGCAAGCACAGCAGAAATTAAGGAATAATAAGCTTTACTTGTTGCTTTTTTAAGTGATAGAATTAAAATGAACCACCTTTGATACCTTTAAGGGGTTTTTCTTTTTCTTTGTTTGACATACATGTGATGTGTTCAATCCTTTTGTTCAGCAGTCTGGTGACTTGACCCTACACAGCCACAAAGTCCCTTTCCACGCGACTAACGCTGCGTCCCCCTGGCTACCAGCTGGGGAGCAGAAGATGGCTCCATCAGCGATGTGGTGGGGGGCAGCAGTGCTCAGCTGACGTGAAGCCCCTCAACTCTGCACTTACCACGCGCTGGTTCGGTTCTCACAAGCCACTGAGCCCGTACCAGCACAGCTCGACTTCAAAAGCTCCACCGCATACTGGGGACGCAAGGTTGCAAACCAACAGGTAGGCAGGCCATGCCACCACAAGGTCTTCCACGACGTAACTAACATCTTTTTTCCGTTCAGAAACCTCTGAACTACATGCATAGTGCGGACGTTTGGCATGGGAAACCAAACACCACCATCTTCACAGTCAGCCCCTCCAAGCCACGCAACCTCCTGATCCACTCCCACTGCTCCCAGCTTCTCCTAACGTAGATTGCCAACACGTTACTGGAATGCGAGTACTTGGCTGTAGCCCAGCAATAGAACTGGAATTAAATTTAAGATACTACCTTGCAGTATTTGTACTTTACTGAGGGGCAGCCCAACAATTCCTTCACAACTATGACAGCACAGGCTGGGAAATACACCTGCACGTGAGACAGCGCTTCACGCAGCTTCTGCATCCATCTAACCACCGATCTTACTACAGATTTGAACAATTTCCCTTTCTGGGAAAGAAAATGTGACAGCTTATTGGATATCTTGTATTTTATACTTTCTACCTCTCTTACATATTCTGTATCACACACGTCATCTGGATATAACAAGTAGATTTTCAACTTTATTGCCAAAGATGCGCTTGTTTCTGGGCTGCCCTCTTCTCCCCAATCTACCGTGTTAGATTAGCCTATGTAAGCTTCTTCCCTACCGCACACAAACGCAGCAGAGCCACTTATGTACCCCTCTGCATCCGAGAACATTACCCTATGCACAGAACCCCAGAAACACCACCTCTTCTGTCTGATCCCCGTTTTCCGCAGTAAAGTTGTGCTGTGTAGTGGTCACCAAGCAGAATTAGCAATACTGTCACCACGACCTACCGCTCCGCCTTTCCTTCCGCACTCTCCCCCAAATTAATTTAAACCACAGTTTGTTCCTCAGTCCAAATAACTCCAGAGAATGGCAAACGTCAGTGGCAGTGGTGACAGGGTGGGGGCACAGCTGGGACGAGGGCGAAGGGCTGCTTTTAGTGGCAGTGGGGGTCTACAGAGACCACAAAATTGTACCACACGCCTCCATATTACATATTAAGGAAAAAAACCATCCAAATGAAAGGTAGGCATCACTTTTAAATGATATCCACCCCAAGAATAAAATGAAAAAACCCCTAATGTCTACTGTTCAAAAAAGCCTCCAAAAGGTACGCTCGGCATCCCTACTTCCCCAGTCACAGCTGTAATGCTGTTTTAAGGAGAAAGAATGAAAAACCCTGGAGTGGTTGCTTCCACGGAACAAATGAGAGTACTCAATAGTTAAGTATTTGAGCACTTCAGTGAGCAACATAAAAATCTTGTGCATGTTAAAGACACATGTGCCGAACGACCGTGGTTTTAAGTATACTTTACTATTGTGAGAATGGAGACAAGCGCTTCTGTATCCAACACAAGTTTTGAGTAGTTTAAGCGCAGGATAAATAACTATTCTCTTGTTTCTTATTAAGCAACAAATCCATCCTTCAAAAAGAACAAGATTCGGAGAGAAACAGCTTTATGGCATTTTTCAGAAACTGTAACCTAATTCCACAAATGAATAACTAAGACAAAATATGTCTGAAATTCAAATTACAATACTATCCTTGAAAAAGTATGAAACCCTTTTGCGAATGACAGTGATAGATGCCTAAAGTTGTTACACCAAAACTTCTGGGTTTAAACTGGACAAACAACAATGGAAAAAAAAAAATGAAGTTTAAGAGTTACGTTTTCCCTCCCGTGCTGCCTTTCATTCAATGCCAAAGCCCTTCAGGAGTATTTCAGGCACCAGGGAACTCACCGTCCTCAATTTGTAACAGTTACAGGTGAAACTAGAAACAAGATGCCCAAATTTACTCACAAAAGCCTACGTGTAAACAAACCCTGTGATTTTTAAGAATCCTGAGCACTGTGCAGCATCTGGCGATTTAACATCATGCAATCAGACAAGTTTTTAAGTTTTTGAACCTAGCGACATGCCTGAATTAAAAGAACAATTTGTGGGAAGTAAACCCAAATCTCACTTTGCTGTAGTGGCTAGAACATCTCCCTTTCCACTCCACCCCCTCCACCCAAACAAACTGTCGGGATTTTGAAGCACACTGACCACTTGATACTTCTCAAAGACGTGATGAAAAAAAACCAACAGACAGCATCTATCACCAGAGAGAAGGCAGCAACTCCGCAATAAGAACCGGCCAGTGACAACTCATGCTTCTGACTTTCACATTAGACCACAATACCCGAATTTTGTATTTCCTAGAAAATCCTGGCATTTCCAAATGACTTCCCACTACCTTATATAGCAGCCTCCTGTGGTTCCCTGCACATTTCCCTTTCGTGTTAAAACACATCTATGAAGTCAAAACTTCCGGCGTTCTTATGAAGCAGCAACACACACCCACACACACAACTCAAAACAAATCCTGATTTAAAACGGAAAGTATAATTGCCTTCTGGTAACATAACTAAAAAGAATAGTTTTCCAGGTTTTTTTTCTATGATTTTTTTTTTTTCTTTCTAAACAACTTTGTTAAAATCAACAGGCATTTACTCTAAAACTACAGGTACTATTTTTATACAGAAACATTCCTTGACAATATTTTCAACTTGCTCTACTTCTAAGCAAAAAATGTTTAACGTGCCACAGGCATAATTATTTTTGTGCGGCTTTTAAAAATCATCTCTGTGGCGCCAAGGACGATGATATAATGCGAGCAAAGATATAATGTGGATATATTAGTCTAACAGCTTGCCACAGCTGTTAAAATATAAGGGCCTAATTTCCCGTTCCCGAGCTTTCCCTGTCCCTTCCCTTGGACTGATTCTGGCACTTGTTTGACCACACAGCAAATCAGGGCAATATGCCAGACTGCCAGAAAGCTTTTATTTTTAAAATCGTGTTCGTTTTCTGATAATTTAGCAAATTGAAACAGTTTGCAGCAAGGTTCATGATAACACAAAAAGCACGGCAAGGCAGAGGGAAGCCGGGCTCTCTCCTTTGGGAGCATTGGGCCACCGGCCCGTGTGACTTCGTCCCAAGAACTCCACCTTCTCAGAGACAGGCTCCGTCCTAGCCCCGGGGCAGTAAGAATCACAGAATGGTTTGGGTTGGAAGGGACCTTGAAGACCATCCAGTGCCACCCCCTGCCCTGGGCAGGGACACCTCCCACCAGCCCAGGTGGCTCCAAGCCCCGTCCAACCTGGCCTTGAACACCTCCAGGGATGGGGCAGCCACAGCTTCTCGGGGCAACCTGCCCCAGGGGCTCACCCCCCGCACAGGCAAGAATGTCTTCCTCATATCTCATCTAAATCTCCCCTCTTCCAGTTTGGAGCCATTTCCCCTCTTCCTATCACTCCATGCCCCAGTAAAACGTCCCTCTCCAGCTCTCCTGTAGCCCCTTTAGGCACTGGAAGGCCACAGTAAGGTCTCCCCAGAGCCTTCTCTTCTCCAGGCTGAACAGCCCCAACTCTCTCAGCCTGTCCTGCTAGAGGCAGCAGAACACTCCTGCTGCACAATGATCTACTGCCAGATAAAAGGAGAAGCAGCTAAGAACTACGTGAACCAACTGGGTCATACGATGCATAATGCTCAGACAAGTCTTCCTACAGCTCAGAACCACTGATCCTTAAAACCCTAAGCTTGGGTCGTACGTTGATCTGAAAATCAGGGACATCTAGTTATCTTGTACACAGTAAGGTTTTCAAATCTCACACAGGGCTTTTTGGTTCCGATTTTTATAGCTGGGAGTTGGGAGTCAGCTGTCAGGTAGTGTGTACTAGTCGTACCAGAAAAAGAACAGAGGGAATAATATTCATTAAAGAAAGGTAACTTCCAGAAATAGGTTTCCTTAAGCGTCTTCCAGAATGATTCTCAGATCAGAGAGAAGCTTAACAAACATAAAACTACAAATCCATTAAAAATATGACCAACTGAACAGATTGTTGAAGGACCTGCCCCACCACAGTCTGTCAGCACTTGAGTTTATCTCCAGTCACGTCTCTCGTATGGCGACGGAATCAGGTGATTCATCATGTACAAAGGCAAAAAAAAGACCAATTATCTAAACGGGGTTGTACACAGACGCACTTCTCTTTCCTGACTCCAAAATATAAACAAGTTCTCAAACTTCCAGAGCGCACGCAAGTTTTCTTTGTTAAGTGGTGCGATATTTCCGCTTGGTTACATTTACTCTACAGCTTATATTGTGGATACAGTTGAGAAGGTCTCACTGAAAGACTCTGATGACTACCTTGGGTGTTTCCTCCCCCTCTAGTTTAGGGCTGGTTCATTTTCAACCAGATGATCTATAAAGTAAAGACTCAAATACAGTAAAAGGAGTCAGAATTCTTAAATTTTGCAATTATT